AGGCCACCACAATGCGGGCATGTGTACTGATGCGTTTTCTTTTCTTGAACTGTTCCATTCCGGACGCAAAACCGGTTGCCGCACACTGTCCAGTGATCAATTTGTCCCGTCATGACATTGCTGGCGACCAGGCCCCCACAATGCGGGCATGTGTACTTATGCTTTTGCTGTTCTTTGACTCTTCCATCACTGACGTTAAACCGGTTGCCGCACACTGTCCGGTGATCAATTTGTCCCGTCGTGACATTGCTGGCGACCAGGCCCCCACAATGCGGGCATGTGTACTCATGCTTTTGCTGTTCTTGGACTCTTCCATCACTGACGTTAAACCGGTTGCCGCACACTGTCCGGTGATCAATTTGTCCCGTCATGACATTGCTGGCGACCAGGCCCCCACAATGCGGGCATGTGTACTTATGCTTTTGCTGTTCTTTGATTCTTCCATCACTGACGTTAAACCGGTTGCCGCACACTGTCCGGTGATCAATTTGGCCCGTCGTGACATTGCTGGCGACCAGGCCACCACAATGCGGGCATGCGTACTCATGCTGTTTCTTTGCTTGGACTTCACGGTACAACTTCTCGTCGCTGGCCGGCGTCTCCGTCTTGCGTTTCTTTTGTGTCCTTTCTGTTGTTTCTCCTTGTCTCGCCGTAATCTCGGCCCATGTCTCCGCCACCAGCCTCCGGCGACGCTCGAGCTCGGACCCGCTGGCCGTAGCATCGGCGGGGAGCGCCGGCAATCGATCGTGGACACGGTTCTGTGCGGCGCGGGCGCGGAGGCGCGCGAGTCTATGATTGGCGCGGCCGGCATAGCGACAGGCCACTTGCAAAGCTTTGCAACCGTTACACATTTGCCGGCCATCCTGCCCCGCAGTTCGTTTGGCCAGCCACGTGCTAAACTGGGAGGGTTCTTTACGTACGTAACAAGTGTGGCACTGCCACCAACCGCGTTGCTTGCGTGCACATGCGCGACAAACTCTTCGGTCCATATGGCGCGCTTTCCAGGCTGCCGCGCCAAAGGCAGCTTCCGCTTGCCGCACGCCGCAGTTGGCGCATTCTTTGCGCACCTCGCATGTCAGGCACACGCGATAATACGTACACAGTGGTCGATGGTACTTCTTCGGGAAATTTGCCTCTGCGTGCCAGACTTTACAATTATTACACTGCCATGGGGTGCACAAAAAACTAGGTACGACACGGCGCTTGCAATGTCCGGCAGCACCCACTGCGATGGGGAGCTGGCATTTGACGTCCGGCGGGGAACACTACCACGCGGTCCTCGAGGTTGAGGTCTGGCGGGGGACACTGCCAAGCGGAACTCGCGGTTGAGGTCCGGCAGGAACACTGCCATCCTGCAGTGGCGGTTGAGGTCCGGCGGAGGACACTGCCATCCGGAGCTGGCGGTTGAGCACGACGCGCAAGAGGAGGAGGACGAAGCGGAGGAGGAGGAGGAAGGCAGCTGACATAAAATCTACCAACCCTCACCTGACAGGTAGGAAAAAGACTCCTCCACCCGAACAAGTCTACGATTCGTCGCCGGTACCAAGCCCTTCCAGGGCTAGACTTGATCCGGTACTCTGCTCTCTCCGAGACCTGCGCAGCCAAAACTTTTATGCACGGAACTCAGTTGCGTCAAGTTCACCTTCGTGACCTTAGTTTGTCTGCTTGTATTGAATGCAAGGCCATGCGAGCTCATGCACGCTCGCGTTCACCCATTCCCCCCCCAAAAAAAAATGGCAGCGCTTGTACGGCGCATCCCACTTATGCAGCGGGCGCCGTGTCTTCCTTAGTTTTTTCCCCGCCTGCGCCTTAGAGTGTACGTGGGTTTCATGTCATCTGGAAATGGAGTAAATAAGACAGTGCTTGTGCAGCACGTCCCACTTATTCAGCGGGCGTCTTATTTACTCCATTTCCAGATGACATGAAACCCCGACCCTTCTCCCCCTCGCTGGGGTCGGCGGCACGGGGCGTAGCCCTTACAATCCGGGCGCCGGCCACGCGCACGTTCCCTTGCCGGAGGCCTTCGGTTGGTAACCGAAGGTTATATACGCTCGCGCCCCCTGCCGCCGACCCTTTTGTTGGACCTCGCGTATACCCCGTGTCGACCCCGTGTCGACCCCCGCCCGAATCCGGTCGACAGATTTTTATGTCATTTATATTTTATCTACCACCATGGTTGTGCATGATGTGGAAAACATCGTTTTTTACAGTGTTTCGTGGCCTTCGGCGGAGACGACTTGCGCCTAACAGGGCGCCGGTGGTGTCGGTTATGCGTGCCGCGCGGACAGGCTTAATCGACATTTCGTTTGTGTTGGGCACAGAAGTTGCCTAACGTATCCCTAACATAGGCCCAAGATAGCCAACATATCCCCAACATAGCCTCCAAGATGGCTCAACATAGGGCCAACATAGGCCAACATGGGGCCAACATACGCCAAGATAGGCCGAACATAGGCCCAACCTAGGCCAACATAGGCCTAACGTAGGCCGACCTAGGCGCAACATAGGCTCAACTTGGGCCCAAGATGTGCCCAACATAGACCACGTGGGCGCAACTTGGCGCAACCTAGGGCCAAGATGCGCACCAGATAGCTTAACTTTGCTCAAGCTTAATCGACATTTCGTGAGCGTAGGGCACCCGCCAACAGCAAAGGCGGAACATGTGCTCCGAGATGATCTGAAAAAGGCCTTCAAGAGGACCTCACCTAGTCCCAGCCTATGGTATACATAGCCGCAAGATGACCCGACCCAGGTCTCACATATGGGAAACATAGCCCCTAGGCGGGCCCAGATTGCCTCAAGATGTGGCAACAGGCCTCACATAGGCTCAACTGGGCCCAGACTGCCTCAAGATGTGGCAACATAGGTCTCACACAGTCTCAAAAAGAGAGAGAGAGAGAGAGAGAAAGAGAGACAGCGAAGACAGAGACAGTGACTACAGAGAAGACAGAGACAGAGACTACAGAGACAGAGACCGACAGAGACAGAGAGAGAGAGCGGAGGGAGATAGGAGAGAGAGAGAGAGACGGGGTGGCAGGACATGTGCAAGACGGCTCTCCCGACTTCGGCGTGTATACGCCCGGGCGGTCAGCCCCCTTCTCGAGAAGGACGCTCCCGAGACGGTCAGCCCCCTTCTCGAGAAGGATGCTACCGGGACGCCCGAAGTCCCGGTCCCCGTCTTGCACAGGGAGGGGTTGTTCGGCCCCCCACCGACTGAAGATGTAGACGGTGCGCACCTGGCGAGAACGAATTCGCGGACATTGCACTCTGCACGCATCGTTCACAGTTTCACAGTGTCTTGCAGTCTCACCGCTCTTGCGGCGCTCGCTGACCGGTCTTTTTTTACTGCTACGGCTGGTTGTCGCATGACGTTGACCGCGTGAGCGATGCTCTGGCGGAGGCTAGAGCGAAGGCGCATACGAACCAAGGAACTGTGCGGTTGGACGCACGCGGCGTCGAAGGTTCGACCGCTTCTTTGGCTCTGTTTCGACCGCTTCTCCTTCGGAGTTTGCAATGCGACTCTGACAAAGTCATGCGCTGGCAGATGGTCCAACCGAACCTTTGGCTCCAGAGGCCCACGAAAACGAAGTCATGGCCGAGGCCGTTCGGGAGCACACAGTTGAAACTCTGCTATCGTACAACGCATTTCTGGGCTTTTGACTCTGGAATTTCTCTGAAGTGGGCGGATTAGGCTTTTGCCGGGCATGAGTGATGCTCTTGCGAACTTGGCTGCAGGGGCTGCGCGATGCGTTGGCCCTCGGGTAGGGGATGAAATGGCGCTGCCGGGGTGGTTCTGTGCACCATGTCTTTAACCATGGAATTTCTATTAGGCGGGCGGGCTATGGTTTTGCGGGGCATGAGCGATGCTCTGGCGGACTTGGCTGCAGCGGCTGCGCGATGCGCTGGCTCGGATGAAATGGTGCTGCCCAGAGTGGTTCTGTGCATCCGGTTTTAATGGACAATGGAATTTCTATTAAGTGGGCGGACTATGGTTTTGCTGGGCATTGAGCGATGCTCTGGCCTTCGGGTAGGAAATAAAATGGTGCTGCCCAGGGTAGTTCTGAACGATGGAATTTTTATACAGTGGGCGGACTGTGGTTTTGCTGGACTTGAGCGATGCTCCGGCGGACTTAGCTGCAGCGCCTGCGCGATGCGCTGGCTAGGATGAAATGGGGGTTGCCCAGGGTGGTTCTGTGCATCAGCTTTTGGAGAATGGAATGGAGAATGGAATTTCTATTAAGTGGGAGGACTATGGTTTTACCGGGCAGGAGTGATGCTCTGGCCTTCGGGTAGGAGATAAAATGGTGCTGCCTAGGGTGGTTCTGTGCACCAAGTTTTTAACAATGGAATTTTTATTAAGTGGGCGGACTATGGTTTTGCCGGGCATGAGCGATGCTCTGGCGGACTTGGCGGCTGGCTCTCGGGTAGGGGATGAGATGGTGCTGCCCAGGGTGGTTCTGTGCACGAGGCTTTTGACCATGGAATTTCTATCTGCTGTGGACTGCGTATGTTGCACGTCACAGCTTGCACGCGCTGCTTTCTGGGCATAGGCTTCTACACTTTGCGACGCCTCTTCCTTGGCACGCCACGCTGATTCTGGCGACGGCAATGCAGGGGTTGTCGTCGGCTGCGACAACAATCGATGCGCCCCGAGCGATGCTCTGGGCGTTGTCGGAGGCCACAACTGAGAGCTCGGTTGGTGTGGTGGAGACTGTGGTGCGTGCAAGTGCATGCTGGCTCTGACTAGGATCACGAGAAAGCTCGCTAGGCAGTAGCCGCGTACCCATGATCAGGCTATGGTCGTCGGTCGTGACGATGCTATGGTCGCCACTTGCAGTGTCTACGGCTACCTTTGACAGCTTTGCGTCGGGACATACCTCTGCAACGGGCTTTGAAGCTTGGCCACTGTGCCGTGCACTTGCTGGTGGGCTTTGCTTTGGCGCTGCCGGACGCGAGCGCGAAGACTTGGCGGGTCGCGCTTTGTGGGTGGATTGCGCCGACGAGAGTGGCGCGGCCACAGGCACGTCTTCGAGAATGCCTTCCCCGAGCGGCATTGTCTCTTCCGTGCCATATATATTTGTGACCCGTTGTTTCACTTCTTCTTTTGCTTTCTCCGGGGAGATGTGATTGTCACACATTGGATGCTGCAAGTCGATCAAATGTTGCAACAATGCAACGACCACCCATGGTCGGATCCGTGCGCCGGCCACCCACTCTATCGCCTCATTGTGACGCATGCCTTTCACAGTAATCTTAACCAGGGCTTGCAGAACTTTGGGCTTCTGCGGCAAGTTTGTCCACGGCATGCTAGTGTTTGCTTGTGGAGCGAACGCTTGCAAGACTTCTTCCCAAGGTAAGCTAAATGAGGAAACGTTACCTCGAACGGCAGAACGATGCTCCGCGCGGTGGAGGGTTTCTTCCACCAGGTGCCCTCTGTCTGCTTCTACATAATACGTGACGACGGACGTCCACACTGGGCTAGCGGCGGCTGCTTCTATCCACCGCACTTTGTGTTTGTATAACAACTCTGTGGGGTAGCCGTACCAGTTGTCATTGGCTAGAGCTTGTGGAACTGCAAGAACATGTTTGTCGAACATCTGCACCAGGCATTGGTGGCAGATAGGAAGCTCACATGTTTCGCAAAGCTGCCCATTGCCTACATCACAAGCTGTGCAGCGCAAGTCTTCTGGGCAACACACAATCTTTTGGCCATTGTATAGAGAGGCAGGCAAAAGGCGCGACCATTCATGTGCGTCAAAGCGGTCGCGGACGCAAGCACTGGTGGCGTACTGCTTCATGTATGTATCCAAATTCCAGTTGCAGGTGAAGCTTTCTAGAGAAAGGGAACCAAACAACTCCGCTGCGGACAAATAGGCAATGTCCCCAGCAGCACCCCCGGCATGGATGCGAGCACAGCATGCACATATCAAGGCTTCGCACGACGTCTCCTGCAATTCTTTCTGCAGTCGTCGCAGGGTTCGACGATCCACACTCCAACCGACCTGTGGCACTTGTTGATCTTCTTTCTGCAACAAGGCATTCACGTATTGGCTGGGAATTGCGAGCTCGGCCGAGCCTCCGGCTGCGCGATGCGCTGCCTCCTCGAAGACTGCGTGATGGTTTTCTTTCAGGTGCGCCCACAAGCACGTGGCAGCATTGCCGCAGCAGGCTCTGGCTGAGTGTGACCAAGTCGTGCCTTCTATGCGCCAGACTTTTTCTTTTGACCAGTGGGGATGACATGGTTGCACATCAGAAGCCCACTGACAACCGTCGAACGCACAATGCACTGCGGGATACACTAATCCAGAGTTTGAACCTAATTTTTGCAAGTCTTTGTCACTCAACACGCATGGCAATAAAGGGCGTAACCGGAAGTGCGTCGCCAAGTGCTTGGCGCTGTCTATTGCGCGGTCCTCTATCGTCACCCAGCTTTTATGTGGTTCGACGACCGCTGGTAGGTCTGCGTCATTGGACCTTCCACTAGATTCGGAATCCCACGACAGCACACTGTCCAAGTCCACGTCCGTGGCCGTTCCTTCGGATTCTTCCACTGCGTTGGACTGTGGCCAGACGTCGTCTGCCCCCCTCTGCACGGTGGATCTTGGATCTGTGTGTTGCTGTGCATCGGTGGCTGCGGTTGCTGTCGGTGGATGCGAGGCCACATGGTCTTCTTGTTCGATGGCTCCGTCACAGCGCACAGACGTCTCGTGCTTGCAGGAGCTATGTTCCGCGCAACTTGGCTGGAAATGCTGCGCGATGCGCACGCCTGTCCGGCGACGTCGTGCTGGTCTGGAAGAGCCCTGGCACACGCCGTCTGTGGTCGGTTTGTCGATCTCACCGTCGAGCCCCGCCGTGCTTCCTTTGCGTGAGCGATGCTCTTGCGGCGAACTTTGCGGCGGCTCGCACGGCGGCGGTAAGGGTGGCACAGGCGTCTCTAGAGTGTCCGCTGCCCGCTGCAAGACGGCGTCAGCTCCGGCACGTTTCCACTCCAGTGTCCAGGTGGTGTCCGGAAACGGCGGCCGCAGCGACGCAGATCTGTCCACTATGTCGTAATGGCCGGCGACGCCGAGTTGGCGGTGCAGAAGTTCTAACACTTGTGGATGTTCTTGTAGTCTTGCATGGGCTTCTTGGTCACTAACAATTGCTTGGTCTCGCACCCACAGGTTGTGGTCCACGTCCTGACTCCAAATCAGGCAGTGAAAATCGAATGTCTCTGCGAGCGCCCATAGTTCGACGAAAGACCCATGGTGGATGGAGTCCAAGGCACGCGGTTTCTGTAGCACCGCAACTAGCTTGCTCAAAAGCACAATCTCTGAGTCCGTGAGCTCTGCTAAGCTCGGGTTGGATTTGTGCGCGCGCAGAAGATACTGCTTATGCAACTCTAGTTCTCGATCATCGAAGGGCACGCAGGCAAGCTGAACGTCTTCTGCCCTCGGACCATATTTCTGATTGCACAACCACTCCAACGCCTGCAGGTATAATTCTGCGGCGTGCGTTATCGACCACGTGTTCCACTTGCTGCAGTGCCGACTGACGGCATGAAAGAAGCACCATCCGTCGCCGGGCACTTTGGTGATGTCACATCCGATCCGAGCTTGCGCCAGCTGATCCAAGTCAACAACTTCTTCTGCGGACTGGTTGTGCGCCGGGCTGTATTCCGACGTCCACAAAGCATACTGTGTAACATTAGCTTCAACTTCACTTTTCTGCTTCAAAGGTGTTGGGTTCGAAGTCTCAGCTAGCGTGGCAGGGTCAGCATCTGAGCAAGTTGCATTGTCCACGTCTTTCTTTTCTGTCCTCGTCCTTTTTGTTCGGTGCATCGTATTCCCATGCAGTGCCCGCATCAATTGATTACGTAGTTTGCGAGCAACCCACCACATGTGGTTGGCTTGAAAAGTGTCTTTGTACCTTACAGTATGAACACAGTGTAAGGTGCCGGGACTCACAACCACCAACACTGCCAACAACACTTGCGTCCTATACAGCGGCTGTGTTTGTCGCCGTCGTGCTTTGACGCGACTTCTGCCTGCGACGCGGGCTTTCTTGATCCAACCCGTCGGACACCGACCCTTTGCGAGAGCTCGCAGTGCTTGGCATGCAAAGACACAACTGAAGAGGTGGACGACAAACACTGGGTTTATTCGATTAGTGGTAGCACTTACGAACGCAGACACTAAGGCTAGGCCCCAGACGAGCATCGTGTATCGATCTGGAATTCTACGGGTCCAGTGTGTGTGCTTGTTGTCTGCTGGACTTGCTTTGCCGGATTTGGCGTGCCGGACATGGCGGCCACGTCGGCGCAGGTTGCATCTGCATCCTTCGACCAGAGTGATCCTCCAAACTGTCGAGCAGCGCACGGCAAAACTTCTGTCTTGTTCACTGACAAGTTTACTTGCAACCACACACCACTTCGTCATAGCTGCACTAACGAACGCAGGCAGGAACGCCGTGCTTCGGGTGAGTGCAGTGATTTTGTAGGTCGAGCGTGCGTGCATGTTGCCTGCGTGCACTGCTAGGCTGGATGTGGTGGGTCGGACATCGCAGCTTTGTCGGCGACGAAGCCGTGTCTGCCAGTCGCCGAAAGCGACCCCGCAAAACATCCAGCACCATGTGGCAAAACTCGCTGCTCGTTGACAAACGAGTCGATTTGCAGCCAGATACCACTGTCTCATGGTTGTCCTCTTTGGGTCCGTGAGCTACAGTGAAGTGAAGTTCTGACTGCTTGCGTTAGTCTGTAGTTTCTTTACCTAGTCACTCTGACACTGTGGCTGCCAGGACGCCTAGAATTCAGCTACCGCGATTGCTAGCTCGGTTACCTGTCGTTGACTTACGGGGATGGAAAAACCTATTCGTGTCCTCTATGTGAATGACTGTTGTAGTGGACTTCGTGTACGTCGCCGTAGCGACACCGACCTATGTTGGTGTTGTTGCACCTAGCTTCTGGCTTTGGACCGCAACAGTGCAGCGACAACGAACGACGCTGCGACCGCGCACACCTGCACTTGCAGGTTCGACGGTGTTTATGTTCATCGCTCACGAGTGGCTTCTCACCTTGGTTCCCTGCGTTTTTTGTTTGGTTTACTTCGTACTTCACAGTCTGGTTTCAGTTTCAGTCAATCGTTCTCCTTCCTTGTGTTAGTCTTCTAAACATGTCGTTGCCACCTCGTCTGGACGCAACCCATGCCCTCTCGTCAAACACGCCAAACTCGCTGGCCTCTCCACCGTGCTGCGAGAAAACGACGGGATCGTCATAGAGCACCTGGCACATGATTTGCACGCTGGAGACGGTGTCACAGACTGTTGACAGAAAACAGTTCTCTCCTGTCTCTGTCAAGCGAGCCATCCAGTCTGTGCAGTTCAGTCTCTCTTA